AAAACTGCTAACAGAAATTCTGGATAAAGAACTCCATTAGGTTGCTTTAGTCTCACTGATCAACCTCATGCTTAGTATTTCCATGTCTGGGGGACAACAATGAAAGAAAGGTTTAAATATAGATAACTGCTTTTCTAAGATGCTTTTTCCATATGGCATTATAGGAGACTTTAAAAAAAAAAAACAACAAACTATTTTTTTAACAAAGTTTTGCTAAATTTCCCATTTTAAAAGCTGCCCATAAAACTCTGGGTTGTTGGTTTGGTTTTTTTTTTCCCTAAGTTTCAAATGTCCATGGTAAAAAAAAAGAAACAAAACAAAAAAAAACAAAACCAAAAACAAACCCATCAGATGAATTCACATATTGCTTAGGAAAAAAATGACTTCTTAAACCAAAATGAAAATCTTTGTTTACTAACCCTGAAGATCAAAAAATTGCATCAGAGCATGCCCATTGCTAGTAACGAAGCTTCTCACCCAAAATCAGAGCTTCCTTTGCACAGCATTACAGAACACACACATTTGCTTCAACCACTCAAGTAATAGCAGGAGGTGGCAGCATCATCACCCAAAGGAGACCACGTCTAGGTCTCCACATTAGTAGCCACTCTACTAACAATGTGTAACATTTACTTTCACTGTCCAACCTGAGTAACACGAGGTATTTGAAGTTTTAAGCTCTTATTTACATAGTATCGTTCCGTTTGGCTTTGGAGAAAAATACTTTTGATCTAAACAGCTCTTTGTTTATTCAAATCATTAGTGGTTTCTGTAAGATTATACAAAGTTTTGGCATAAAAAAGGATTCAGCTCCACGCCTAAATTGGTTGGTGTCATGTAAAGGTAACATCACTTCAGCAGAATTATCTTTCATATACAGTTTATAAATATTCTTGATGGTAACATCTTCGAATGCTCAGATCATTTCAGTGAAATGAGAAGTCACAGCTGAGGAATGCAATTTCAAAAAACTAGGGAACTCTAAAGTAAAGACTCTGCATCTAGCTTTCAGTAACATGGATAATGTCTCCCCGACCAGGATATTAATGCATGCAGCTGTCCTTAAGGTTGTGATTAGGCACATCAAGAAAGACCCTCAACTTTCCACCGCTTTCAAGAAACTTAGAAATTCACCTTAATAAACCAAGTTTAGCTAAATATTTTAAAAATTTTTCATAACCCCTTGAGTATCAGTCTACAAAACTCTGCAGTAGTTTTTCAATATTACATATAACAATGGGAAACAATTTAGATAAATGTATGTGTGTTATGAAGACTTGTAAACAGTAATGATATGCAAAAGGGGGTAAATTATGCCCACTTTAAAATGTTTTCTATTAGTAGATTGCATTTACTTTCCCTGAACCTAAATAATAATTAATAAAACAAAACCCAGAACTTTAACACGATTCATATCAATTTGAATTTTGTACACGACCACTTTCTGCTAACAATTCAACATCCCTTACAGGAGCTGAATGAGTGCTTACCTGCTACTTGTAGCTCATAAAACTACATCATACCTGATTTTATACTTTGCAAAGCAAGTCAAGAAGGTGTTATACTAATGACTAAAGCAAGCTGAAGGGCAACTTGAATATCAAGTAAGTTCTATTTCTGGCTAAAATAAATGATCAAGGGAAGTACAGTAAGCCATTTTTGCCTCCTGGCAGTTATTTAAGGTTGTATTCATACAACAACCATCTGCATAGAGATCAAAAGGATCATGCTCCCCAGCTGGAAAAGCCAGTGTCTCCTTCCTTGAGCAGACCCTGGAGGAAGGCACATGGCACTTGGCAGAAGCCAGTGTACTGCTAGCGTAACACAGCTCTGCTATCAAGTGAAAGGAGCTGCTGCACCTACAGTGTTCTCAACAGTTATGGCAGAAGCAGAGATGCCCGCTTAAGAGCCCTCACTGTCTTCAGTCTGTAGTTTCTCACTGTGATGGGATATGCACACACAGAGGGGAAAAGCAAGCTTATGACGGCTGCAATACAGCCTCATGTTCCCACTTAGAACGGCCCTCTTGAAAGCCCTGCTCGAGCCCTAAAGGAGGACGGGAGCAGAGGGTCCCAGAAGCCGGCCCCAAGCTGAAGCAGGGCACGTCACGGTTCCCCACAGCCGGGTGGGTGGACGGCGGGGAGGTGAGTGGGGATGGAGCTTCCCCACATACTCATTCCTCTTTTCCTTTAGGCCTCGAAAAGAACAACACTGCCCGATCGGGTCCGGCCAAAGCCTCCCTCTCAGCCACCCTCACACTTACTCCAGTCCTCAGCGGACGAGCGCACCCAGGCACCGCCACAGACGCGCCGTCCGCCCAGCGCCAGGCCGAAGCACGGCTGACAGCGACAGACCCAACCGGAAACCCGCTCACAGCACCGGGCAGACGGGAGAACAGCCCTCACAGCGCCGGCGCGGGGCGGAGCGGGGGGTGAGCTGCCTTGTTATTGGTCCGCTCCGTCACCATGCGCAGTCCGATTGGGAGATTCGAAAAGTGGGCGGTGCCCGGCAGTTGGCGGGCTCCCGGCGGCCGGTTGCTTGAAGTGCGGCCGCTGCCTCCGCCGCGGTGCGTGGTGGTGGTGGGAGTGCTGCGGTGCTCCCCTCCGTTACGCCGGTCCTTTCGTGTCTGTGCGGGCTGCCTGAGCTATTCCGGACGGGCAGTAACGGGTGAGTGCCAGCGCCCCATCCCCCTCCAGAAGCTCACACCAGGCATCAATGAGGTAAACGTCTGAGGACGTGGGGAAAAGTTACTATAGGAAGCTGTTTAACTTGCTGTTGGTGTCTGCCGAAAGCTGGTAGTGCTGCGCCTAAGGCTGATGCCAACGTTCTGCTAGTCGTGTTAGGTACAGCTTTGTATATCTTAACTACGGGAGGGAGCCTGCCTGCGCCTAGGTTCTCACCTTCTTTCACGCTTCAGCTTTCCAGGTGGCTGCGTCATGGATGAAACTGTTGCCGAGTATATCCGAACAACTGTACAAAAAATCCCACGAAATGAAATCAAGACAATGCTACAGGAATGGGGCTTTCTGTCTGAGAAGCAGCTGCAAACCATCAACTTCCGTCAGACAAAGAAGAGCATCGCTTACGATGTTTTTCAGCTGTGTGAGGTAATCCTCTCCTCTGGCAGCTGCTTCTCAGTAACGTACAGGACACACATTGAAGCACTGTCAGAACTAAATTCTTATGAGTAAATGATTTTGTTTGGTCATGACATAGCATCAAATTTCAGTCTGTAGTATGAAAAATGTAAAACTGAGCTGGGGATGCCATCAGTTTTTTCTGTGATAGGACTGCAGGATTAACCTTCCTGCATAGGGAAGTACATGTTATGAGCTCCAAGTTGCACGAGCTAGAGAAAAGCTCTGTGTTGTAAGCCTTTAAAAAATGAGTGTCTAAATTCTAATATAAAGGCACTGATTGCTATCAAGTCATTACACAGAGCTAATTTAAATCTAGCATGGGTAATAATAGCAATAGTATATGTATTCTATAGGAACTTTGGAAACATGTTTGGCCAGAGTTATGTCTGTTCTGTGTCCTGTAAGCAAAAAAAGCTTTCTTATATCTGACTTACCTACTCCTGATTTTGGTGTACCAGGAATCTTTGTATGTGTCTTCATATATAGAATCATAACCTAGATAGATATAGTTATTGTTGTTATCTTGCATTCTGTACCTTTTTGTATCATTTGCTCTGAATTTCATATGCAAAGGTTAGTCATGTGGAGTTGAGCTCAAATGGCAGGCAAGAAATTGTTGACTTGTTCTTGTAAGATAGCAAATGTAATATTTTAAAATGGCATTTGTTTCTGACACTGACCTGTACTAAGTGGTGAAGTTTCTTAAGAAACTGTAAAGGTTACATAAGGAGAAACAAATCATGTTAGAATACCAGACAGTGGAATACTAATCAGTGTTGTATCATGTCATGAAGACCTGCTCTTTTTAGTTTCTAAGAGCTTGTGCATTATAGCACAAGGGCAACATTGTTGCTGCCTCTGCAGAGGAACACTTGAACCTTGATGAAATAGCTTTCTTTATTGATTTCTCGAGAATCTTGTGTTCATATTGGGACCGGCTGTGGTGTCTTTGAGCAGAATGTACATGCCAAGGACATCAGTGCAGTGTCATTTGAATTTCCAGTACTGAGAATTTTCACTTACTAAACATTATGATGGAATGTTCTGGACCTGCAGTTGACTATTACTCTTCTTTCTAGGAAATACCTGGAAGCATAAAGGAAGCAGCTGTCCTAGACATGATCTGTAAGTTAAAAACACAAAAAAAAAGATTGAAAATACCATCTTTGTATTTTTTCTGAATAAGTTGGTAACACCCTTAATTGCGTAGCAATTGCCCCAGAGAGGTACAGATTAATTTGCTGCAGATCGCATTTTAGATGTATCTTACTGGATCTGACCTTTTCTAGAAAGAATAATAAAATCTAAAACTGAAAATCGACAAAAGGACATTTGCTTCTTCTGAGGTATAAATAGATGTAGACTGTGGTAAGCCACATATCAGTCTATACTTCTTAGTTTGAGTTTAGACTGAGTTTTGGTAGTTATAGGTAAGATTTTTCTTTAAACACTGAACCTCAGGGATACCTTTTATTAGTCACTTAACTGAATTAAAACAGATCTCCCCATCTTGTTTAATAAAAAAAATTTTGCATTTATATTTGCTATGCGTAGTAATTTTAAGAATACTGAATAAATTATATTGCATTATCTGAACTATTTTTTTAACAACCTGGTCATAAGTACTGTAAAATTATTGTTTCTTTAATTACCATTTGGTAATACACTATGTTACTGAACAATTCCCATTTTTCTTAGACACCCATGCCTATGCACATAAGAGAACATGGAAAGCATACCAGCTTCTCACAGCAGGTAAGATGTCTTTCCTTGCTGTAATCTCACAGTTCTTGGCAACTTACTGCACTGCTACCCCATACCATACATTTTAAACCCAAGTATAGTCCACTGGGTTTTTTCAGTAGATATCTTCAACATTTAACTATAGTCTAGCGTGGATTTTTCAATTGACATGTATTCTAAAAATATTAAATATATTCTATTAAATTCTCAAGCAATTATTAGAATTAGGATCTACTAATTATATAATAAACTTTATAGAGCAATACAGGGGCTCAAATTTAATACACAGATTTTTGTATAAGGCTATGCAACTTAAGCTTTTTCTGCTTATTTTATATCAGGAAAGCTAAAGACATGTCTGACCTAGCTCTTGTAAACACAAGTCTTGTTTCTTTTTTTCCTTGTTCTTGTGTAGCAGAGAAAGAAACGGAGTATTTTGACATAAGAGATTTCAAAAAGAAATTTAAAAGAAAACTTCGTTCAGCCTTGGGAAATGTAAGAATAAATTCATTCTAAATGTGTTACACAGCTCTATTGTCAATAGATTGTTTTCATAACTTTAGCAAAGTATTTTGTGGGTTGGTTTGGGGGTATTTTTCTTCTTCTGCATCAAGAATTAATTGAACTAATCATTTAGGAATGGTAGGAACTGCATGTGAAATAGACAATAGTTTCTTATCTTTATCTAAAGTTCCTGCAACTCTACAATTATGCTGGAGTGAAATAAAATGTAAAATTGTTTTAAAATATGACTGGCCTTGGGAAAGGTGGCACGTTTACGTTTTCCATCAAATCTTTGCCCTGAGTGTACATGTTGCCTAGGTGAGCTGATATTGCTTTGTCCCATTACCCAGTAACAACAATTGTAGCACAGTTATATGTTTCTTTTTAGTTCTTGTTTTGAAATAATTTTTGATGGCTATGAGAACTAGGCCCTGGTATTTAATTACATTATAATGGCTGGAAGGTCACTGTCAATAACAAGGAGCAGTTTCTAGACTACAGAAATGAGTCGAAAGCAGATACTATCACTTCACTTTTTTACTAAGCAATGCGCAGAAGCGTTTTCTTGCTTTAGCTCACCAACTTCACTTAAGTAAGGTAACAGAAATTGCCTCTGGCTAGTTGCTGTGTCACTGCTTGACACACGAAGGATTCCCACTCTCACCAGTAGAGGGCAACAAATACAATTCAGAGTAACATAAGCAGCAGTTCATACAGCTGTAGTACAATCAAGTTTTGCAATATTTTATGTTAAACGTTAAATATTTAAAATGCACAAAAACTTTGAGAAGTTATTTTGGTTCAGTAATATGAGCAGTTTATGAATTAGCTGGACTAAAAGCTTGGCTACATGTATCTCAGTCAAAGGGAGGGTTAGTTGATCTGGCATTTTAAGGATATTTTCCCACTCTTTTAACTCGCTGAGATTGAGTCAAGGTAAAAAGAAGTAACCAAGGAGTGAATCTACAAAAACAGGAATCTTATTCAAATTCCTGATTGTGCACTCTTAAGCAGTGATAAACATTACATACAGGTCTAAAAATTACAAGTTGATCAAAAGTTTGGTTTCTCAAGAATTAGACATAATGAAAATACTGCCATTAGCCCTCCATCTAAATAGACACCTTTTTCTTGTGATGTCATTTTCCCTACAGAAATCAAGGTTTTTATAATAAGCTATTTCTATTTTTGCCCTTCAGAAGAAAGTGTGTATCAACAGGAAGGAAAGTCATATTAAGAGTCTGAAATAGCTCTTTTTTGTTCTGTGTGTGGTTTTTTTTCCTCCCTGTTTTGTGAGGTAATTGTTCTTTGGTAATTTGATTAAGTACAATCCTCACCACACTAGTGTGATTTGTTTCTTATTCAAGCAATGGTGTACTAAATTATGTTTGGGTTGTGTGAATACAGGGTTAAGAGAAAATCTTTACAGACTGTACCTGACTGTACTGGTAAATCAAAGCTTTTCTTTCTGTGTTAGGTCACCATCAACTTTAGAGAGTATGAGGATAATGCAATCTGGATTAGGATTGCCTGGGGAACACCGTGTCGGGAGCCAAACCAATACAGAGCCAGCTATGTTGTATACCATTCATACACTCCTTATGTCTTTATTTCTTTCTCACAATATAGGAGCAACTTCCCTCTGCTCTGTCAGGTATGAAATAAAACTGTGTAGACCCTGACTTTACCACTGTCAAAGTAGAGCTGTTAACTGTGTTAGCTTGTAAGAGAATGCATAAAGATTTGTCATGTAATGTAATTATTTACTCGTTTACATAGTTGGGGTTTTTTTTTCCTCCCTTAGCTCATGGTAAAAACGGGGCAAAAATGAATCTTTGCAACCTTTGGAATGCTGCATCATGAATAAAGTCATTTTAATGGGATTTTTGCTGACCTTGACTTGCTCTAATTTCTTAACCAAGTGTTAGACAGCATTCAGTTAAATTGTTTCATGAAATTGAAGACTATCACATTAACAGTTTACTTTAACAGTTTACTTCAAGAATTGAATATATGAGCTCATTGGGGACTGCTATTAAGTAGTTTTAAAAGACATTTTCTGTCAATGTAGAGTGAACAGCACTGGCAGTCTTTTTTTTTTTTTTTTTTTACTTTTGGGTTTTTTTTTTCCCTTGTTTAGCAGACTTCCGTCCTAGTACCGTAATTATTTATCTCTTTGTTTTTTTCAGGTTGATAAAGTTCTAGGGGCTTACCTTGTTAATCCTGTGAATGCTTTTAAATATTAACCTAAGCTTAATAACAGTCTGTTCAACGCTTCTTCAGACATGAGAATTTTGGTAGTTACACACAGCTGCTTACCTTGCAACAAAACCACCACCAAGTCCAGAAACACTGTATTTTTTATTTTTTTTTGTATTATAGACATAGTGATAATTAAGGCTGATGTTAAAACAATTTAAATTTTTATCTGAAGGCCCTGGTTGCTGCTTCCTATTCCCATGACATCTGTGCAATGGAGCTTCAAGATCGCTGTTTAAACTCCCTTAAAGACTGTGTGTTTTACAGATATAACCCGGTGAGTCATTTTACAAATACATCCCAAGATAAATCTTACTTTTTGTTTCGGGCCTATTTCTCAACCTGAAGCAAGGGGGGGAATTCACCTTTTACAAGCTGCCATCAAGTTAAAATAACATTGAACTACTGAGATGGACAAGCCCTTTTTATTGAGGTAACATTACAGTAGGGATGTAATTACTTGGCATCCCACCTATGCTTTATTGTTGTTATTCCTGATGGTCAAACTCCATCTAAAATTTGTATGAACAACCCAGTCCTAGAATTTCTTGGCATTTAACCAGGCTTCCAAGAGCAGTAAGTTGAAGCCTATTGGAATAGGCGCTTAACCCTGCTCATCCATGTAAAATTTGCACATGGAATCATAGAGTAGTTAGGGTTGGAAAGGACCTTAAGATCATCAAGTTCCAATCCCCTGCCATGAGCAGGGACATCTCACACTAAACCGTGCCATCCAAGGCTTTGTCCAGCCTGGCCTTAAACACCACCAGGGATGGAGCATTCACAACTTCTCTGGGCAACCCATTTCAGTGCCTCACCACCCTCACAGTAAAGAACTTCTTCCTTATATCCAATCTAAACTTCCCTTGTTGTGTTTTCACCCATTACCCCTTGTCCTATCACTACAGTCCCTAATGAAGAGTCCATTCCCAGCAACCCTATAGCCCCCCCTTCAAGTACTGGAAGGCTGCTATGGGGTCTCCATGCAGCCTTCTCTTCTCCAGGCTGAACAGCCCCAACTTTCTCAGCCCGTCTTCATATGGGAGGTGCTCCAGTCCCCTGATCACCCTCGTGGCCTCCTCTGGACTTGTTCCAACAGTTCCATGCCCTTTTTATGTTGAGGACACCAGAACTGCACACAATGCTCCAGGTGAGGTCTCACGAGAGCAGAGTAGAGGGGCAGGATCACCTTCTTCGACCTGCTGGCCACGCTCCTTTTGATGCAGCCCAGGATACGGTTGCTTTCTGGGCTGTGAGCGCACACTGAAGCCGGCTCATGTTCATTTTCTCATCAACCAACACCCCCAAGTCCTTCTCTGCAGGGCTGCTCTGAATCTCTTCTCTGCCCAACCTGTAGCTGTGCCTGGGATTGCTCCGACCCAGGTGTAGGACCTTGCACTTGGCATGGTTAAACTTCATGAGGTTGGCATCAGCCCACTTCACAAGCGTGTCGAGCTCCCTCTGGATGGCATTCCTTCCCTCCAGGGTATCAACCGAACCACACAGCTCGGTGTCATTGGCAAACTTGCTGAGGGCGCACTCAATCCCACTGTCCATGTCAGTGACAGAGATGTTGAACAAGACCGGTCCCAACACTGATCCCTGAGGGACTCCACTCGTTGCTGGTCTCCAGCTGGACATTGAGCCATTGACCACAACTCTTTGCGTGCAGCCATCCAGCCAGTTCTTTATCCACCGAGTGGTCCATCCATCAAATTGATGTCTCTCCAATTTAGAGACAAGGATGTCATACGGGGCATTCTCAAAGGCTTTGCACAAGTCCAGGTAGATGACATCAACTGCTCTACCCCTGTCCATCAGTTCTGTAGCCCCATCATAGAAGGCCACCAAATTGGTCAGGCAGGATTTCCCCTTAGTGAAGCCATGCTGGCTGTCACCAAGCACCTTGTTGATTTTCATGTGCCTTAGCATGCCTTCCAGGAGAATCTGCTCCAAGATTTTGCCAGGCACAGAGGTGAGACTGGTCTGTAGTTCCCTGGGTCATCCATTTTTCCCCTTCTGGAAAATGGGCGTTATATTTCCCTTTTTCCAGTCATTGGGAACTTCACCTGACTGCCAGGATTTTTCATATACGATGGACAGCGGCTTAGCAACTTCATTTGTCAGCTCCTTCAGGACCCATGGATGGATTTCATCAGGTCCCATGGACTTGTGCACATTCAGATTCTTAAGATGGTCTCAAACCAGATCCTCTCCTCCAGTCTTCGTGTCTGCCTTCCAAGACTTGGGTGGTGTGGAAAATGTTCACAAGTATCACAGGACGGGTGTTCTTGTCTCAGACTAAAGCTGGGCTTTCTGACTTGTAATTACTGTCAAGAATTGGAAAGATGCTCACTTTCAGAATGAAGCAAAACATGGAAATCTTTTCAGCTACAGCCTCTAAAAGCGGAAATGAACTAAACCTTTTTTTTTTCCTTTTTCCATTTAGAACATCCAGACTTTTTATTCTGAACCTCTAAAGGAACACAGTGTAGAACCAGAGAGTGGTATGTATATTTAAAATTAAACAGTAGTTTCAATGCTATTTCTGCTGGCTTATGCAATGAGATTCATTAGTTTGGGTTTTTCTTTTGGCTAGGAATGAAAACATAAATGATGGAGACAGAATTTATCACTGTCATTTTTTGCTAAGCTAGTTAAAATTATTTTCAGATTTTCTCTAATCTGGTGAGAAAAGCAGCATTGTATCAGCTGACAAAGTTGTCTTTCTGTTTTTTCCCTTCCATACTCTTTTCCCCTGCAGATTTAAGGTTAGTTCAAGAAAACAGAAAAACTAAAGAAAAAATACAGAGAATGAATCAGCAGATTTTTGGTAATGATCCCCTACTGAAACTTGAATATGTACAATATAAGGTAAAAAACTTTGGGTTTTTTTTATCATTTAATTGTAATAATATGTAAAATATTTCTGGCTTATACTCCCTGGTTAAATTTTGTATTAACAGCTTCAGACGATGTTTAGAAGTTATCCTAAACAGAATGTTTTGCATCAAAAAGAACCGTTCAGATGTCTGGTGAAGTTTTCTAGTCCACATCTCTTAGAATCATTGAAATCCCTGGCGGGAACGAGTAAGTGTTCTAATTCTATAAAATGGAGGAAAAATCCACAGTTAAATATTCGTCATCTTACATTCCGCTTCTGTATTGCGTACAGGAGAACCTTTGCAGTTTGTTCAGAAATACATAGAAATCTAGTAGAATAAAAATATTACCAGTCTGAAAACTTTCTAAACACATACCAGTTTGTTCTTAGAATTACTAGTTTGTACATACATATTCAAGCTGTGGTTTAGTTTTAGAACAGTTATGAAAGGTAAATATTCTTTGGGTTAAGCTCTAATTATCTGCCTTTCTCTCCAGGTATGGTTGATGCACCGCTTTCACCACTGCTTACCTCTCTATTACGCAAACCTAGGAGCTATTATAGAATTAAAGAGAAAACTGATTAATTTCCAGAAGGCTTTCTAAGTCCCTAACTTAAGACCAATTCACAGAGGAATATACAATTCATTTATTACTGGTATTAATCTAAACCACTGTAAATGTTAAAGAACATTTTTTAAAATAACTTGTATTTTTTCCAAACTATTGCTTCTCTGAATCAGTTTTCCACATTTGTCTTTCAGCAGAAGGGTTAGCCCTTTCCTTAAATAACCAGGAAAAAAAAAAAATAGCTGTGAAATTTAAACAGATTGCAGGCTCTTGGCATATAGGTGGCAGTAAGAGGTTTCCGTTCATCTTGAGTTGATGTTAATGCAGAGGTTTTGCTCACTGAGGGCAACAGCCTGTAACAAGTACTGGAAATAAGATATTCATACAAATAGGTATATTTTTTTATCAAATTTCCTCCTAGAGGAATACAATGAAATAAGCAGTAATTTTATTTTTGTGGAAGTCCACTGTTTAGTATATTCCCATTAAGTTTTGATCTTTCTGCAATCCTTGCACATTACCAGCTTGTGGTGCTTGGAGACATGAAGACTGCAAACTTGAGACGGAAACATTTACCACTGCAAACAGCAGCATTGCACTGGAATTCAATAGGGTTGGTATATTTCAACTAGTAATTAGATAGCTATTTCCATGTAATTTGCTGCATCATTTGTAATTTGATGTGAATGTGATCTGAAGAGGCAGGTTTTCAGTAAGTGTTACTTTTAATTCTGTTACCTGGAAAGTTCATGCATCTACTTTGTGTGTAGGGAATTTCTGGTACACTTCAGATACCTCAATGTGCAGAGAGTCTTTTATAACTTCACAGCACAGCTTAAATATTTTCAGAGGCTGTATGGAATGTCTTTCTTCTGAAACTGTAAATAAATGTGTAAATTAAGTCTTCTCAATAGAAGCTTGTTTTGCCTGACTCAGAAACATGACTTAACATATACTGATTTTTGGCCTGTTCTCATTTTCATCAGCATTTCTGTCTATCTTGCCCATAGAAAGAAGTTAGTTGAGGACTATGGGCTAGTGCTGTATTTCTCAGACTTCCCTCTCTGGACTTAAATGTTAGTTTGTGAAAAAACATAATGGTATGATTAATCATAGACTCATACAGTAGTTAGGGTTGGAAAGGACCTTAAGATCACCTGGTTCCAACCCCCCTGCCACAGGCAGGGAAACCTCACAACAGACCCTGTCACCCAAGACTTCATCCAACCTGGATGAAACAATGGCAGGTTTTCTAATACATAGACCATACAGGACACATAGTTGTCTCTTGCCAACTTACACCCTTAGAGAGCCTTTCAGGACCCAGACCATTAACATTCCCCTATGCACCTGCCTCTGTGCAACTGCTTCCAAATGCTTACTCCTAAACGACTTACTTCAGGCATTTAATTAACTACCGCAAAGTTCCAAAATACCCCTTAGAACAGTGTGGGTTACCTAGCCTATGGCCTGTATCTGACTCGTGCTTCTGGGAAAGGCAGCCTCCATCTCCCCTATAACAACTGCAAAGTAGGTGTCTCTGATGTACCTTTGTCCCTCTAACTTCCTGTAATGAAGGTTACAGAACAGCGCAAGTGAACGTGAGGCAGGCCTACTTACCCCCACCACGGGAGGGTGACGGGGCTGAGGCTGGCACAAGCGCTCTCCCTGTGGAAGAAGCCCCAGCTCCACGTATTCTCGCATCCCCGCCATTACTCTCTCCTTTTCGTTTGCTTCCGTTGTACAGCCACCTACCCAGCGCTCGCTGCACGGCCGCCCTAATGGCTCCTCCTCCTCCCCTCAGCACCCATCACAGTAACAGCTCCTCGTCCCTCCACCGCCCCGCCGCAATAACGGCTCCTCCTCGTCCTCCCCTCAGCACCCATCGCAGTAATGGCTCCTCCTCGTCCTCCCCTCAGCACCCATCGCAGTAATGGCTCCTCCTCGTCCTCCCCTCAGCACCCATCACAGTAACGGCTCCTCCTCCCTCAGCACCCATCACAGTAACGGCTCCTCCTCCCCTCAGCACCCATCAATCACAGTAACGGCTCCTCCTCCTCCTCCCTCAGCACCCACCACAGTAACGGCCCCTCGTCCCTCCAGCGCCCCGCCGCAGTAATGGCTCCTCCTCCTCCTCCTCGTCCTCCCCTCCGCCGCCCGGTGACGCAGAAGGCGGGCCCGCCGCAAGCTCCTGCTGAACATTCGCTCACCGCAGCGGGTATTGGCGGCCGCGCCCGGAAGCGGGGAGCGAGCAGCTGACAGCAAAATGGCGGCGGCGGCGGCGGCGGCCGGGCGGCGTGGCGGGGCGCTGGGGCGGCCACCGGCGCCTGTGTCCGTGTCCTTGCCGGTGGGGGACCTGCCGCCCGCCGGCGAGCTGGTGCGGCCCTCGGTGACAGAGCTGTCCCAAGTGAGGACCAACATCCTGTGCACCGTGCCCGGCTGCGGCAAGGTCCTGCCCAACAGCCCGGCTCTCAACATGCACCTCAGCAAGGCCCACCCGGTCCAGGTACCGTCACCGCCCTGAGTCGGGCCCGCCAGGCGCTTCCGTCTTGCTGAGCCCCGAGGGGGTCTCACCTCCTCTCGGTCTGGGTCCGTGGGCTCTTTAATGGTGCGGCGGCTTCTACCGCTCTGGGCCGTATTCCGGGGACCACTGCGGACCCCGCTGGGTTCCGTAACCGCCGTGCCGCGGATGAAGGGATTCGCTTCTCCGGTCTGTACGGAAGTTCTGTGGGGTTGGTCTTGTGGAGCGTAGTGGGGTGGGTGGGGTGGTCCAGAGAGGATGAGGGAGTGTTTCTCGTCTGCTTCAATGCCTCCACGTGAAAAGTATGCGCGTGTACGTGTGAAATACACGAGTGTGTGTGCGCAGCCTGGGCCATCGTAGTGAGAATACCGGCGAAACTACCTATAGGGAAAAAAGGCCAGTTTTGTACTGGCGTTAAACCTAACGAAGGCAGTGAAAAGTTCCTTCGGGATCAGTTGCTGGTATTTCACTTGCCTATCGCTTCTCGTTCTGCAGTAAGTTACAGCCCCACTCGAGAGGTGCTGTGCAAACACACTGTTTCCTACCCTTGGCAGTTGGCAAGGCACCAACATCCAAACGCCGAGTGCTGTTATGCTGGGGGCGGGGGGAGTTGTTTGTGTTTTAAAACGTCTGTGAGCCAAAACCAAAAACCGCTAGCTGGATACCGTTTTGGAAACAAGCTCTCATTGCCATAGTACTCCTGAGAAAACAGCACGCACTGGGGGGAGGAGGGCCGCAGTTCTGCAAGCATGTCAGTGCTGTGTGGGCCTTTCAGAAGCATATCCTGTACTGTTCTCAAAACCGTAACACTGACTGTGTGAAGACAAACCTGATTCCTGTAAAACTTGAAGCACAGCATTCACAGCTGCGTTCTGAAAATGCAGCCCCGGTGGGCAGACAGTAAAGATACTTGTTTTGTGAAATGACTAATTCCAGGATCTGATCTGTGTTACAGATGGTCACGGGTGACAAGCACAAGGAAGTACTCTCAAGTATACTTGATATCTCCTGTTTCTGTTTTATTTCATTTCCTAATACGCGCTAACAGCTTTAGTGCGTGTGCTGTATTATCTCTCATGTGTGTGGGAGTGGAGGTACAGCAGGAGTTGAAAACGCTCATTCAGGTTCAGCAGACAGTCATCTTGGATCATGCTCTGAATGCATGCAGCAGCCAGTGACGAGCAGAGTTGTGGGTTACAGCTCATGGGTGAGGAAGCGCGGCTTGCTCACCAGTCTCCTACGTAGCTACTAACTGTCGGTGCTTTGTTGAATTGTAACATGTCATACACCTCATTACCAGACCTTATGACAGCTGGGATGAATACTGGAACATGGATGGATGCAGGTTTTCAGGAACATCGTGCTTATTCCAAGGATGTTGTAATTGAGAGTAAGATGTTGAGACTTAAGGGAGGCTAGGTTTTCTGTGATGTGCATTATGCATGGCTTGAGAAAGGCTAAAGATATGAAGTTAAACAGATACAAACCTAGGTGTGTGTTACTCTGTTTCTGCAGAAGGAGATGAACTTGCACTAATATTTTAGTTTTAGTATTTCATTTAAGAGATAACTGTCTCTCAGGAGAAAAAAAGTTTAGTAGTTTGCATTTGTTAGTGAAAAATGAGGAATTAGTGATGAAGCAGCTTTGCAAATGAGATGGTAAGAAGCCTTTGGGGAAGGGGAGAACTTAGGAGTGCTGAAGAGAAGGGAGGTTGACTTGGTTAATTTTCATTATAAAAGTAGCACCAGTAGGATCTTTCGATGCCAAAACCAGAGGTATTATTGCAGAGGAAGGACATTTACATAGGAAAGCAAAACTACCATGTAAAAACTGAGTCAAGTCAGTACAAGGTTATAGTCTTGTGGAGTGATGCCAAAAATTTGATCAGTCCTGGTTTCAGTCCTGGTTTGTAACAGAAAACTGAGATGGCAAATGCTTGCAAAAGCTGTTTGGTCATACAGTGTGCAGTTAGGATAATGCTGCTGTGAGAGGGGCAAACCTAAAATATGTCAGGAGGATATTCTTGGTCACTGGTTTAGGGTAGGAACCCCATTCAAATGAGCTAAAATGAACCCAGAAGAAGTGTAGAAAAGGGCTGCTGAGGATGATGAACAGCAATCGTGTCTGACAAAGAGAAAAGAGAAGAATTTGGCTTGTTTGGTCTAACAGAAGAAGGCATGACAAAGTGCTAATAATAGCAATGTCTGTCTTCTAGCTGTCTCCTTAGCTTAACTAGGCCACAGGGCTTGTAGCTACAATGTGGAAAACAGCAAGTAACAATCCTTGCTGCTGTTGGTCAAGGTGAATGTGGTAACGTCTTGCCTTTCTGCAATAGAAAGGTTTACTCTAAAGAATTAATTTAAAACGGTAAGTTAGACTAGACTGTAGCCAGTTTTTAAACCAAATTCTTTTTCAGCAGAAGATCATGCATTTCTTTACGAAATAGCATGAAAAGAAGTGTATTTTTCTTATTATAAAAGCTATTGCGATAATGTGGTACTTGCATTTGGGTAAACCATGCCCAGGGTAAGCTCCCCTTTCCAGTTCAGCACTGACTACAGCCTCCCTGCTATCACAGGAATACACAGAATCGTCCCCTTCATATTTTCCATGTTGTTGCCATAAGCCCTGTCTGCACATCAGTATTCCTTACAAATGCAGGGGTCTGGTTGTGAGAAGTTATTGAACAAATACCTACCAGTAATAGCGGTGGGTGGATATTGTAGAAATGTGGGAAGTGAAATCAGCTGCACAAGGACAGGACTTGTGAGAAGGTCTGACATTTGAGCAGCCAGATGGGGTTTTGAGAAGGTGTAAGATTAACCATTTGAGCAGCCAGATGGGGTTTTGAGAAGGTGTAAGATTAACCATTTAGAGCCAGAAGGGCTTTGAAGGTGGTCAAAACAGGATTATTGTCTGGATAGAGCTACTGATATGCGTAGAGTATCTCTCAGCTTGCATCAGCAAATTTATGGTGGTCTGTGCCTCAAAACTCTGTGTTCAGCTGTTGAAAGAACCTCTTGCTCATCTCATGTTTATGTTGCTTTTAAACACTTGGTGTTATTCTATACCAGTGCATAAGTAGTTTTAAATACCCTGACTGTGGTTTACCTGTTAAGTGCCTGAACATCCTGCCATGACATTTGTTGGGTTGTGACATTGAAGATAACACACTTGGAATAACTTCTCATTTAAGAATAAATAACTCCAATTGCCACTTACTAAACATATTTATTTCATCTGCAGTGTGAGAGACCAAGCGTAGTATTGACTTGAAAGCAGATCTTTTCTCCTGAAGGCTTTGAGACTGGCATCCAAGTGTTTCTGGGTAAACTTAGGGTTAAAAAGTGTAATTGGGGTAGTGGGGCTGGAACAACTGGATTCTTTTGAGTCATGTTCCTGGTTTGGGCCGTGGCTCTAGGAAGTGCAAAAGCAATCACAGTGATTATTCAGCAGAGATGAAGCAGGCCTGTTTACGAATAGTTTGTCCATGGCAAGAACTGCTGTACATGAAGGTGCTTAGAAGGTTAAAACTTTACATAAAAACTCCCTTTTGAAAGATTTATTCCAGGTTTTCTTGATGAAATGGCAGCAGATCACTTTGGTTGAGAGGCTTTGCTTCTTTGGGTATGGGATGTCATTAACAAAAATGAGCTTGCTGTGGTGTCAGCAAGTAGCAGTGTTGAGCTTGTGGAAATGTAACCAAAATGTTGCTTTAAGGAATTACCTTTTACGCAGATTATTTTAGATTGAGAGATGGTTTGAAGAAAACCAAAGTCATTGAAGTGTCCCACTCATCTGCTTCATAGTGTTCCTGAAGTGCAAATGAAAGCACTTCACAACGAAGGCAGGAGTAGCTCAGCACACAGAATTGTTGGGTTGTGACTAGCAGCAGCTAGGGAAGAAACAGGGAAACCCTCTGTATTCTGGCAGCTGTGGCACATACTTTCTTTGCTTCACATGGGATGACTATTGTGCTTTGTGGATTCTTTGTCTGGTGCAACCTGTGTAAACATGAAGCAGCTGGAGATCTGCCTGAAGATGATAGAGAGTGACTGGTGTAAAATCAACATTCTGCTGCTACTGTCACTGGAAAGTCGGGAGCAGAGCTGAGAAAAGGCATGCTCCAGAAATTTTCTGAATAACCACCTTGGGGATGCCGTTGTGGATGACTGTAACTGGCTCTGGGGGTTTGGTTGGCACTCTACTCCGTCCCAGGATGCAGAGACTCACAAATACTCTGAGCATCAGGTTTTCAGTAGTTCACTTTTTTTTTTCTTTTCTTTTTTTTTTTTTTTTTGCTTAGACATTAATGCATGATGTTTCCATTGAGACCCTTTCAGGTAGGATATGATTACAGGGGTATGGCTTCTCTGGTTTCTGTGGCTGTGTCAGTAGTAGCAGGTTCTATGTGGTTGAACAATCCAGAAAATCTCCCTAATTTTCAGTGTGCATTTTTGAGGTCCTCTTTGAGCAAGTTATGCTGCTTTCTTCTACCGTGTACGTGTGATGGTCAGTGAGGCAGATCACACAGCAAGCCTGGATATAGGAGCCACTAAACATTTGGAGGTTCAGAGTTAACAGTGACTTCAGCGAGATTTTATTTATGCTTGGAATTAAGTGGCAGAGTGTACTTGGCATTTTTCATTTTATTACCAGTAAACTCTAAATAGTGCCAACAGAATTCTAATGTCAGGGGAGAGTTGGGTTACACTGTGTGTGACTAATTTTAATGGAGCTTCAAGTAGACTGTGCTGCTAACAAGTTAAAACCACATTGAATCGGCAGTGTAGTATCCATAGGGAAAGCTTTTTGGCTCAGATAACACAAAAGGCAGTTATAATTGGTGTGGGGCAGCAAGCATCTTGGTAGAAGTAAATAGTACAGTACCACTACTCTGTAGAAGTTGCGATTTCACTTCACAATTTGATGGTACATTTGCAAAGTAGCATTAACCTTGGTGAAAACTCCATTTGAGCTTTCAAATTGCTTAGGAAAGTGCCTTTAGCTCATTGATGAGGGGTATAAATGCAGTGAGTAAAAGTTGATGTGTATTCTGAATGTCGTGACTTTCATACACAAATTTGTAAAATTGTCAACTTCTCTACTGCTTCTTTTTCAGGATGGAAAACTTAATGCGCCAATAAGGAAGAGTTTGAAAACACCTCAGAAATTCTACTGCTGTCCTATTGAAGGCTGCCCTAGAGGACCAAACAGACCATTTTCCCAATTTTCTCTGGTCAAACAGGTATTCCTGTTTCCTAAACTATTATTTTAATACTGATTTAGTCCTGACTGTGTCTCCTACAGAGTGTACACTTGTGCCTTCAGATGTGAGCAAAGCCTCTGAGCTTTATGTCCTCAAGTTGGAGAATTGTGTTTAGAAACTCAGTGTGGGCATATGGTTAAGGAATTTGCATGTTGATATTAGAGGGCTTGAACCTTTTGATGAGGCAGAATGCCAGTATGTTCTGCTAAACTAGAAGACAGTACCTCTTAGCCAGTTAAAAATACAGAGAAAGGTAAATGGCAGGGAGAGGGAGAATCACAGTAGCAACCAATAATGGTTTAAAATTACCATTTTAAGTAGTTAAACTGCTCTTTTTAAATGGTCAAGAGATAGGAGTTTTTCTCTGTTTTAGTGTCAAAATGCAATTGTTTACTAGTTACCTGCTTAAGAAAATATGTAAGACTTGTTTCTCAGTGAATGAGTGAAAAAAGCTCTTCTGTTGGTTACCCTGGATAACCTGGGGAGACTGTAGGAGGTGGAGCGGCTGGAACTTGGTTCTGTGAGTGAAAAGGAAATTCTGGTGTTTGCTCTGAAGTTGACCTGTTTGACTTGAGAGTATTTGCTCAGTTGTAAGATCTTCAGGAACGTGCAAGTGTTGCAACATATACTTAACTACGTTCTTTAATGATTATATAGATGAACCTTGTTAATGTCCATAGGAAACCTCCAATAACATTAGGACATATATCTTTTATCTGTGTTTTAAGATGTACATAGCACAAGCAGACTTGCATGCTTTAAATCCTTTCTGTTGATTTATTAAAGCTTGTAACTTATTCCTAATGAGACTTTTTAAAAACAAATTAATTCTACAATTTGATGCTATTTAACAATTAAAAAAATGCAAATATTGTCTCCCCTAAACGTGATTTTCCTTTTTCTTAGCTTAGCTGGAAGCTAATGTTTGCTTCTTATTGTGTATTCTAGCACTTTATGAAAATGCATGCTGAAAAGAAGCACAAATGTGATAAATGTAGTAACTCCTATGGTACAGAGTGGTATTTGAAACGACATATAGAGGTCTGTGGCAAGACTTTCCAGTGTACTTGTGGGTGCCCTTATGCCAGCAGAACAGCATTACTGTCGCATATTTACAGAACTGGCCATGAAATTCCTGCAGAACACAGGTAAAAGTGAAGAAGTTAAGTAATGATACTCATGTTCATCACCAAGTTCTCTGACTGGCTTTTTATCTCTTTCTGTTGATTACATTGTAACTAGGCTCACATTGTTTTAGCTGTACAGCAGTTTGCAGTTTCTTTGTTCTGTTGCTTTTGGTAGTTTCTGTTTTGTTGAAAGCAAGGACAATTGTCTAATCAATGAGATGAGGTGACACCACATATAGTCCAAAAAGTACTGATGACACTGCACTGCATGGTGTAAATGCTGGTAGTTGTTGTTCTATCTGCTTTTACAATTCTGTAAAAGTAGATTATATGGAAATGTTTATGGCTGGTAACTGGTGTGGAATGCAGTTTAGCTTTTCTTGTATAGTCTAGTCTGTTTTGCAAGTTTTGGTGGGGGAGGTTTCTTTTCTTTTTAATGGCTGTATATGCGTGTGTAGACTTAAATTTGTCTTAATATGTACATATGTTTTATAAAGGGTGGAATGTTTCCTGAGGCCTAACCTGACTGATTTGGAGATACAACTGCTGCAAAATCAAGTTTTATGTGAAGGAATGCTAACTGTACCTTTAGTTTCCATGGGAGACCTTTGCCTATACGCTCACTTTAGAAGCTCTGTTTCTTCAATGCTCAGTCTGAGTTAGCATCAAAGTTAGAAATTAAACTTGTCTTTAATTGTATTAGTTAATGTACAAGGGGGAAGAAACTGTCTAAACTTCCACTTCCATTTAGAAGTAGGTCTCCATAGAAGGGGTAGCCTTTTTTCTTTTTGAAATGGGAGAGTGAGGAATGAAACCTTACACAGCTGAAGTTCACGGAGTCTTTTTATGTTTAATCAGGGTTAGATGCTTTCTGTATACTCAACTGCATCGGCAACTTCAGTTTATGTTTTCAATGCAGTGACTCAAAAGAATGGCAAGCAGATTTTTTGTGCTTGAAAGGAATATAAATTATTGATCTCGTGTTCACAGGGATCCTCCTAGTAAGAAAAGGAAAATGGAAACCTCTGTACATAATCAGCAGTTGGCAGAGAAAGCAAACGAAGCGTTCATCAACACACACAATAAGAATCCTGGCACTCAGGAATTGGAGTCCTCTGAAGTGAAACTAGCAGCCTCTCTTGAAGGCTCCTGCAGTTCAAACCTCGCGAACCAAACGCAGCCAAAATGTACACCGAAGATGCTCTTACCAAAGCCTAAGGTGGCTTTGGTTAAACTTCCAGTGATGCAGCTTGCTCACTTGCCTATATATGTATCTGCAGCAGACTCTTCTGTCAAACCTGCTGTAGTGGCTGTTGATAATCAAGGTTCACTTTTAAGTACTGTTCATTTATTGCCTCAGTCAATAGGAATTCTGATTCCTGCACTGGAGGCAGAAACACTTGTGTTTAAAGACAGTATGCCTGTTTCAAAAGTGACAAATTCTGGTGATCGTGAATCCATAAGTACCAGTTTACAAGTTGAGTTGGATAAGGTTACATTGAGTAACACAGGGCAAGAGATGGGGAATGTTTGTCACAGGAATAAAATTTCTTCAATTAATATACAGACTGACTTAACTTATACTTCACAGAACTTTGTACCAGCTGCAACCTGGACTCCCAATTCTTCTGTATCCTCTTGCTCTCAGACAGATCTGTCATTCAGTTCACAGGTTTCCCTGCCCATCAGTGTACAAACACAGACGCTGCTGCCTGCTTCCAAACTGACTTCATCCATAGCTGCCCAGACTGATGCTTTTAGTCAGGTTTGTTTTCCAACATGTGGCATTTCTAGAGAGACTCAAACCAGTAGGACACAGGACTCTATTGATGGAAGGGTACAGATGGACCAGGCTGTGATGTGCAGTGACATTTTTGACAATGTTGATTCATCATATGTTTCTACTCACATTGAACTTCCAGAAAACAACTTAATGACTGCAAATATAGATCAAACCTTGCTGCAAAGAAGTAATTGCAAGAGCCTGAATCAAGATACGGTGAAGTCTGAATCCCTTATCAACTTCACTACACAGCCTAATATACTTCCACCTCAAAATACAATGGATAATCAAACCCAGACAATGGACTTGCTAAGTGATCTGGAAAACATCTTTTCAGGAAATATGCCTGGCCAGACACTGGATAATCGTAGCCTTTTGTCTGAGACGAGTTCTAATGCTGACACGCATCTGCCATCTGGTCCATCACAGAGCACAGGAATAGACTTTGACATTGAAGAGTTCTTTTCAGCATCCAATATTCAAACTCAGACTGAAGAGAGTGATCTTGGTACTCTGAACCCTGAGCCAGTTTTGGAGTCACTGGACATAGAAACTCAGACTGATTTTTTATTTTCAGATAGTGCAACTCAATCATACAGCTGCCGAGGAAATTCTAACTTCTTAGGTTTGGAGATGTTTGATACACAGACACAGACAGACTTGAATTTCTTCTTGGACAGTAATACCCATCTGCCTTTAGGGAGTATTCTGAAGCAGTCTAGTTTCTCCATGAGTACTGACTCATCTGATACAGAAACACAGACAGAAGTATACCAGGCTATTAAAAATACACCTACACAGAATATTGAAAGCAAAGTCCGGCTCAGTAGCACTGAAACACAGACTATGGATAGCTGCTTTGAGAATCTAGGGAGTTTATTCCTTACCAGTAATGAGACACAGACAGCAATGGATGACTTTCTTCTGGCTGACTTGGCCTGGAACACGATGGAGTCTCAGTTCAGTTCAGTAGAAACACAGACCTGTGAAGAGCTGTGCTCCTTGTTTCAGAGCTCTGACAAGCCCAGCCATTGAGTGCTACTTAATATAACCATTTCCTGTGGTTTGAAATTAAGTTATTGGGGTGGGAGAAGTGGCTTGACCAAGTTATTCACTTTGCATTATTGAATGTAGTTATCGTGAGCAGTTGACCTAAGACTTCTCGTGCTGAAGGTACTCTATCAAATATGTATAACTTGACATAAACTGTGTGTGTGAATGGAGGGGAAGGGGAAGCTGTAACATATTAATGTACATTTGAACCTTAGAAAAGAATTCATGGTGCCTATGTTTTTTCCTGAAACTCCTTTACGGAGGTGATACTGCTTTCATTTAAACAGAACAACTTTTGAAGTTGCTCTGTATATGTATATGTATGTGTCTCTCTCTACTCCTGGCTTACATATAAGGTTCCAATATGCTGGACCAAAAACCTGAGCTGTCTAGTTCAGATGCTTCCCTGAACTTATGGGGGAGGATTCTATTAGTGTAAGCTACTTCTATTTACTCTTTTTAGTAGCTTGTATTTTAAATCTGGCATGAACATAATAAGCCGTATTGTCGTCTTTTACTTTATGCCTTCACAGCTTGTTCTCCTGCATAAGCTGGTATTTTCCAAACAACAGACACATAGAAACTCCTGGATTGTTGAATATATTTATTACGAAACATGTAGAAAGCAGTAATTTTTTTTATATTTTTCCCTAAGTGGCACAGATGTCCTTTGAAGTATAGGAAAAGAACTTTGAATTCGCAACTGTAGGAGAAGGTAATGTGTTGTCCTTTTAGGTAGTGTAATAACTAACATTTCTAGAGTCTTCAGGAGGGATTTACTTAAATTATTTCTGTCTCTAAGATGCAAATGTTACAATGTGTGTGCCTCAAAGACTGGGATAATTTGGTTTTGTTTAAATTCTCCTAGCTTTATTAAGATACAAGTTGAGAAGTGTTACAGCGGTTTATACCTCTATTACCTTAACAGAATCTTCACAAATGGGAAATTAAATTCTCTAAATTACTTATCTAGATTCCCGGTTTTGGACTTCCCACTTGTAAAACCAACTGGAATCCTTACAGCAGAGCTGGGAGATCACCTCACAGAAGCCCTTTCAGAACAGCTGTATCTTGCTTTTACACATCTATCTGCAGCCCTCAGTTCCTGCAGCTTATAGAGAATTTTTCTGAGTATAGTCAAATTCAAACAAACTGATATTTATTTTCTTTCTTTTTTGCAAGAAAAATGTGACCTTTTGGACTTTTTTTTTTAATATTCATCTTGCCCCTTATATCATTTTCAGTACTTTTAATGTGCATGAAAAAAAAATGAAGCTGTGAATGTATGTTTGAATTCAGCCTTAACTAATTTTTGTATCTTACTATAATACATACAAAATGTAGGCCTCTAGTTTTGTCCTGGACAGGCTTTAGTTTCTGTTACCTTAAGTGAAAAGAGAAACCTCTTCATGTCAAGTTCCTGGGCCTCTGACAGACTTTCCTCCTCCCTTGTGAGAGGAGCGGTGTTGGCTATGTATTTACTGGGCAGCCCACCAGTAAACATATGCCCAAGCCTTAGTTTTTGAAGGCTCACTATGCTTTGTGCTTCCTATCCTCAGCTCAGGGGTGTGGGAGTTATGTTACTCATCTGCTGCAGCTAGCTTGTTTTGTTGGAAATGAGCAATACCTTTCTGTCTCTTCCTGACACCCTTTGAATTGCCATGGTTCACACTACGCTAATATGGTAAGTGTATACTTTTACTGGAAGTAATATCTTTATATTAACCCTGAAGCTCATGTTTTCCTCCTGAAAAAATGAAAACGCAGCTGTGTTGCCTCTTTTAATTTTTCAGCATTTCTGGTGCAATTTCAGAGTCTTCCAGTTTTTGGCTGAAGACACTGCAAAAAGGAATCTTGCAGCTCCCCCCAGGAGTACAGTAATTCTGCCTTGAGGAAAGGCCCCCCTCCCAGGCTTCCCAGTGCCTAAAGTTCTCATCTTAAAGGTGATATATATTAAAAACAGGCAGGGATTGCTTGTTGCTCTGTTTTCTGAAAATGTGACTGGATTCATATTTATTTGCCTGGTTTGAAATTGGAGAGATAAGATAACAAAGTTAGGTTAGTTTATTCTGTTGCAGTATTTTTCTGGTAATGTGGTATTTTCACATTTTAAGTGGTTTTCCTTCTCCTTTTTTCCCCCTGACTGGAATACTAGAGAATGTTTCTTCATACATAGGCTTCTGTTCTCCATGTGCAAGTTGCACGGACACATGGAAGAGAAGCAGCTACTGTAAATCTGGTTGGAGAAAACAGCATTTTCCACATCTGTAGAAGGCAGAAGGCCCATGACCTTTGAGTTTAGAAAGCCAGTCTTTTTTCTATGAGAGAAAGGATCTCAGGTGATGACATGCAGAATGGTGAAAGGCTTTGAACTGAGCCACCTGAGAGACCAGCTAGAGTTTAAAGAGCTTTGAAACTATCAAATCAGAATGAGAATTGCCACGTTCTTATGGTGGAAGCCAAAGCTCTTAACTGGAGTGACTATCAGAAAAATAACTAAGGTTTGTGTGGATGCAGTCTTGCAATGTAATCATTACTCATATGTTGTACTTCGTAATTAAATGTGTTGATAAGCTTTGTGTATTTTTTGGAACATGCAAATACCATTCCCTTCCCTCATCCTATGGATTTAAAATAGCTTGAACTTAATTAGGTGAACACTGTACCACAACATGAAATTATTTATTAAAACTTAAAACTATTAAGAAATTATTTCATGTGTCTGTATGGTCTAAGGGACGTGGCTGATTCTGACCAAAAGTAACTTCTTTCTTCACAAATTTGGTTCTCCATAAATTATTCGTAAAAGTCAGAAACTGGTTTAGATCCTGTGTCACTGGCATATGTTGCTCAGTTTGCATTTATTAAGTATTTTGTGAAGGCTGCAACCAGACTTCACAGTTTGCTGAATCCCACAGTCTTATGAAACCTTATCTGCAATACTGTTGCTGAATATTTTTCACATTTGAACAAGTCCTTAAAGCAGCTAATTTCCTATTTTGGCCATTGTTTTAAAAGTAAATTTCAGTTAAAACTATTACTTGGTAGTCCTAAATGATATTTGTCTCCCTTTTTCTGCAGTTTGTCTCTGATTTGATTTTTCAAGGCACTGTGTTGCAAGTATTGGTCAGCAGTAACTTACTACTTCGCTTATTCTCTTTTGTATCCTCTATTGCCATTTGAACTGCTATGCAGGAAGTAGCATCAGATTCTCCGTAGCCTTTTAGCACAAATTTTTGTCTGGAAGAGATACTAATGCTACTTTTGCCTACTGTTTGGATTCCCTGCTTAATTCTGCTAGGCTGTGATTACTGGATCTTGATCTGGATGCCTGTGTAATGCTATTCTAAAATTGAATTGATAGTTTTGTAGTTTCACGTGAGCTTTTCTTAAGCATGTAGGAAAAATCAAACAAATGAAAAACAGCAAATTTGGGACATGCATTCTATGAGAACATAAGTGCAAAACAGCTGAAAAAAATGAGAGGTGTGGTTTGTTGCCTTCCATGTTTATTTGTCACAGTGCTAAAGGTTTGTAAGACAGTAAATCTATGCTTCTGCTTTTGGATTTATTTGCCTCTATTTCTTCTAATACACTTGTAAATACTTATTTCTGCTTTCAGTAAGGAAGGAATCCTCTCCCCACTCTTCATGTCAGCCTAGAGAAATCAGTAGTTTAAAGTCAGAGTTTGCTAATGCTACGTATTCTTAGCTGTGCAGAGCTGCTTGTGTCTAGAAAATTTTAACTTCCAAAGGATATGAAATCTTTATGTATATACTTGCAGCTGTAACTGAAACATCTGTAATACAAGCCTTGTGAGACCTCATCCAGTTATGAATTCAATGTCTGTAAGTCCGTGTACGTACCTAACACTCCTCACAAATTTTTATTCCAGGGTGTACACACAGTCATTTTTTTCTGTTGAAAACAAAAGGCTGAATTTCACTGATAAGTTATATGTACCTTGATTGTGCACAGGCAACCGAAGAGGCAACAGAAGAAAGGTGACTGCCTTCCACTGTTGTAAATCTTTCGCCTTCTAGTACCTGCTCACATGCTTAGTCAGATCTGAATTGATTTTATTTTTTGGTGAGGCTGCGTAGAGGTGTAAGTGTTGGCAGGAATGGGATCTTACGGCATTAGCGTGGTTTTTTAATAACCTTTCAAATACAGGGTGAGTAGAACTAACACATACTGAATCAACATAGGGTGCTCAACTTGGAAAAGAATATGCTGCTGAAATGACAGCTCAGAGATGAACCAAATGTACTTGCCTTTATTATTAAGGGTGTATGGCTTCCTGTGCTTTAATATATTTCTGATGGTTTAGGGTTTTTTTTATACATGATCTTAATGTACAGTTTACTGTTCCAAATACATTCACACCAAAATGTTGTTAATGTTCTGGGCCTTGCAAGGTTTTTCATTCACATCGGGTTTAAGGTGTTGTTATGAGTGTGTTCCTGGTAGAACAGGCCTACTGTAAACGGACTTCTATTAATCCCTTGACGTGAACACTGAGGATAGGGCTGTTTAATCAAAGCAAGCTTTAATTCATGGTGTGAACATGCATCTCCTCTTTCTTTTGTTGCTGTTTTTAACAGTTGATATGAACCTAAACGTGTGCTAGAAGGATTTGCTGCTTAGGACATGACTGAATTTTCTTGTTTCAAATGCCATTGCTATGCAATTGACAGAATCGAGGAACAACATGGTTCAACTCTGTCTTGTAGTCAGGTTGAGGGTATGTTTGTATTTGTGCGTGTGACTCTTCCACTTCACCAAAAATGGAACTGGACAGCCTGAAACCGCAGAAACTCCTGAAGGAACTGCCGAGTTAAATAACCCAAGTCCTTTGCTTCTGATTCTTTTTCATATACTGGCTTTACAGCAACATCTGCAACATAACTAGCAATGGAGTATAATAGATGACTCGTGATGATGTAAACTGTACGTTTCACAACACCTAATGCATTACATTCATGCTTGAAGCACTTGCATGCAGAGCAAGATTGTCAGTACATCTGTCTACAAGTATTTGCAAGTGCATCTATGATAAAGCTAGATATGAAAGACAGCCATATTTTTTTTTCCAGTTACAGAATTCAACACCTGATTATGATCTAATTTTAACTTGTAACTATTCGGAATGGATGAGTAGTAAATCCCATGGGTGAGTCTTTCCCAAAGAATGTGTGTTAATCTCAACAAGGCTGAGAACTGTCCTTAAAATGTTTCTCTTCTCTTCACTAGTGGGATTTTGATCTAGTGGACAAACTTAGTTTTCAAAGGATGTCCCTGTTTAATTCTTCCTGTTTAAGCCAGAAAAATTCCACTGAACAAAAGCAAACCTTCATTTCTTAGGCCTATTTTACAAGTGACAATCCCAAAGAAGGAATGTTGTCCTAGTAATTGTGAAACTTTTGAGTATATTAATGCATGCAGAGAAAACCTTGTGCCAAAATACTGTTTCATTTTTCCCTCTATTGGAAACTGAAGTGTTACACAAAGCTACTAGTAAGTTATTCACAAGTATCGAAACGTTTTGTTCACAAATGAAGCACTTAGTCCTGTAAGTTATACATATTTTGGAATAAAGTTAACTTGAATCAGTTTTTTGGCTTCTGTTTTAATGGCTGCAGTCTGCCTACAGAGGCATTGGGTGAGGTATTCAGTGCCTGTTGGTAAGTACCACCCATTGTTCCTTAACATCTTACCTTTTGAAAGCTAAGTGTCTTTGGAATTGGTAGAGATTTTGTAAATTAAAACATTATGGTTTTTAAATTAAAAAATTATAGTGTCAGTTGTTGAGCTGCAGAGGTGAAAAAAGTTTTCCTGTGTAGTCCTCCATGAATCTTAGGAAGGTCAAACTCACAACACAAATGTAATCATAATGTCAAGATGCTGCATTTCATAAACTGGAAATAAATTATTTGAGAGGTTCTCTGCTGTAGATGAACCTAGGCATAGTCTTGTGTGGGATGTTATGCATACAGGCAGGGCTAGATTCTTCAGAGCCAGCATCATCCACATTGCCTGCAGTAGTGCTCCCTCTCAGACCTCTTGGTAGTGAGTGCAAAATTAAGTCTTAAATTAATTGTATGCACAGTGGAATTCCTTTCCAGTTTCAGCTCACTGACAGATAAATGCGTTTCTCCTGCAACAGATCTCAAGACAGAAGGGTTATTTTGCATTCTTCTACCTTGTCATCCACCCCCCCTGTAGTTTCAAGATCTCTAGAATTATAAGTAGCATCAAGTACAAATTCAGCTGCATTATGAGTGGTTTTCAAAGTGTCCTACTAGAAAAGTACAATCCTTTTTAACAGCTTATATTATTTTGCAATGTATTTTATATAACTGAGAAAATAACGGTCACTACAAGTATTTTAGAAAAGCAGGAAGCTAGAGTAGGTTGGTTTGGTGTACGGATCATACTTTGTCCCTTTTCTTCTTGTACAGTTCCCATCTTTAGTAGTGGTCCCACCATTTTCTGTTAATCGGAGGATATTAAATGGTGGTTTCTACTGTTACCTGTGTATCTTACAGATGTAATTCAGAGTAGGTGAACTAAAATTTCATCTGTATCATTACATCAGCTGCAGTCATGAGTGAGGCATTCTCTGATGTGTAGTGGGCTGCAGATTTTGGTCCCAGTGTACACTGAGGTGAGCATTTGCACAAGGCTGTATTCAGCCCTAGTAGTAGCAAAATAGGGAAGGGATTTCCAGAGGGGAGTATGTCTTAAGTGTCTAGAAACCAAATTCCTGTTTAATTAAAACTTAAAGATGCTGACTCTCCATTTAGGAATAACAGCCTTATTCCTATCATAAAGACGATTCAACTTAGTTTAGGCTGTTATTTCAGGCTTTTCGTTACTCAGAACAGATCTGGCTCATGGGCAAAAGTCAGATACTGTGACAGACTGGTCCTCATGACACTTGCAGAAATGGCAGGCAGTGTAAAAGGCAGGACAAGCTTTAACTCTTGATTGAAGACAGATTGAGATGAAAATGGCTCCTTAGAGACCATGGAAGCCTTCTGCAGTTTTGAACTACTTTCTTGTTTGCTGTTGTTGAAAAGACTTATTTCTTCCTCTAGCAGTGAAAGCATCACTGACCAGTTTGTGTTTAGTTCCTGAATTTCCTTCACTTCAAGAAATTGCATGCTCACAAGCTGATTGTTTTCTGTCAAAACAATGGAACTGGAAATTATTTGCTTTCTGGCTCCAGGATTTGTCAAGGAGGCCTCTGGAAGCCGCCCTTTTGAAGCTTGGACCCGAAACAAAAGGGAAAAATGTTGATTTAACTTTCAGGTGTTCTGTCATTGTATTTTTACATTGTTGCCAACAATTCTGTTTTGGCTTGTTTTATTTTGGCACCTAGAACACAGGAAGCACTTCTAGCTGATTGAGCGCTAAAGTTTATTTCCTTTCTTTGACGGGGAATGGCTTTATTCTTGAGAAAGTTTGCACATAAACAAGAAGCGGCGGTTTCCTGTGCTAGAGGAATACAATGTATTTAAGGAGGCAACTTAATGAACCTTACCATGGCTTAAGCGCTGTGTTACCGTTTCTTTATGTTCTAGGCCTTTAGTTAGTAGCTTTTGTGGTGTGGTGTTACAGCAATAATCTGCAAGTGTGGTCCTTAGAATATTATCTTGTATCAGGTTGAACCAACTGATTTGACAGTTTGGGAAACCTCAGTAAATATTTGGCATGAAACACTGGAAAAATGTGGAAATAAAGTTTATGGCTTTCCCTGCAACTTTAAGCACTGTTTCTGTAATGCTGAAGAATTTATTACCTGTCTGCAGTGGCTGAATCTTCTGATTATTATAAGAAATATGTTTGCCTTTACTGTTAATTGGCAATGCAGTTGTTCAGTTTTATCACTGAAGCAGCACTATTTTCAGTTGTCTGAATGGGAGAGACTATCTTCTTTCCTTCTGGGCTATGGAAAATGTTACTTCACATATGCATGTATGTTTGAATTTTCTATTTAGCAAAAAATGGGACTGAAGCAAGTATATATGGATGTATTTATCCTGGGGCTGTTTGTGAAGGATGCTTCTTTTGTAGAGCTTGCATTCTGCATCTAAACTGATTCGGAGAAAACTCCAGGAACAAACTTGCCGGCAGAGCTTCAAGTTGACAAGCAGGTATTCTTTATTGCGGCACCGGGAGACACGGGGGATAGCTCCTCCTAACGTGTGTCCCCGAATTGCTATACAGGTCATCCTTATATGGTCACTGAGCATATTAATCATTTTCCAAGAAGTTTCCTGCATGCATACAAAAATGTGGTGGTCTTTAAAGGTCGTTTACTTTTCCCAACAAGCTTAATTAACATTACAGACATAGCAATCATCCTGGCCTTCTACTTATCAGTTAGTTTAACTTCTCTCATCCTGGACATCTGCTAATCCCAGATACTCCCCATCCCAGGTCCTGTCCTTCTATTCTGCTTTTCTCACACCTTTTGTACTGAGGTCCTGAGGGCCTGAAACTATGTCAGTTACCTTCAAGCACCGCAGTTATTTTCCATTACAAAGCCATCAAACTTAACATTACTTAGAACCGATTACATTTTGTACTTTTGTTCCTCCTTGTTTCAAAACGGAATTAGAAAATACATCAGGGGAAGGGAATGGAGGAAGAAAATGGTGTGTGTTAGAGGATGTGTCCTGGCAGAATGATGCTGCACTTGTATAACTGGCACCATAATTGAGTGTCATCTGGAACAAGTTACGGCAACAAAAACCCTGTGTTTCGTGGAAATTAATAACCAGGACAGAGTTTTATTCCAGATAATCATTGGCTGAAGTTTTCAGATATCCGGGTATTGAAAGAGGTAAAAGATGCATACAGATCACCATAGACCTATTTTTCAACAGGTCTGTGCAGCTTCTGATGTGGGTGCTGGTGTGTTTGCCGCTTAGTAGGTGGTACAGCTCCCTCGGGAGCAGAGGTATCTTCGCTTGGAAAGTCGCATTTGCTGCCAGGAAACCACTGGCCCTGTTCCCACCTCCAGTGCACAGCTCTCATGGTGTGACTTTAAGCTGATACACCACTTCACATACTCTTCTTAAGGAATTGTAGCATACTTTCTATAAAAATTAGTGTTCTATAAGATTTCCAGATTTCCCTAAGCAATTCTCAGGCAAATTTGTGTTAGGTGACAAAGCAGACTGCTTGGAGTTTTAACACTAGCACTCAGCTCCTGCTTTCTTCTCCAGAGGTCGTCGTGTATTGGGTGAAGAGATGAAGACATGTTGTTAGCGTCAAGACAAACACATAACCACCGAGATGGTTATATGAGGTGCTTTATTGAGGCGCCGGGAACCAGGGGTACGCACCCAAATCTGGTTCCGATTCCCGTCACATCGCGTTCGTAATTTATACACTAAAAATTTCGTAACTAATACATATTCAACACAGATTACATCATTGGCTAATACATATGCATCAAAGATTGCTACATCAGTTTATTACGACATCAGCCTCTTCTGCGCCTGCGTCGCCCCCTCTGGTGGTCGTCCTGCTGAAGTAAGGAGTCTTCCTCAGATGAAGTAAGAAGTCTTCCTCAGGACCTTTTCCTTACTTGGATATATCCCAATCCTTGTGTGGACGCTAGCATTTTCTTATCAGCTTCTGGTATGCTCTTCTGGCTACCTTATGCATAGGTTCCATTTGGGTATAGTCTCCAGTACATACCTTTCTAAATCCACCCATACACATATCATTGCAACACTGATTACAGAACAACCGTGATACAAAATTGCAAAGTTACAACATTTTTAATATACAAAACCTCACTACTGATTTATAAATTTCTCGAACATAATCATTTCTACTATTTTATATAATTATTCTAGTGTAAAAACTTCACCCTCTCTAACAATGTCATCCTTCTATTTTTTTAAAGGAATAAACACATAATACTTTAGGTACATAGACTACAAATCACCTGTTTTACTGAAATTGTGCCTCTAAAGGTGATAATTCTTTAGCTCTGGTGTTAACATACCTGAAGATGAACATAATTAGCGAATTGATGCCAGAAAACTAAAAACTGTTTATAAATGTTTATTAGTAAAAAAATAAAAATGAATCTAAAAGGACATTGAATTCCTCCCTCTCCTTAAAAATAGAAACCATTTGCTACTGGGGGCTTTGCCCTGGTATTGTCTTTCCCTATTCCAAATTTTTATCAAAGCATCAAAGAGGGGAAGGGTAAGTTGCAGTGAATCTCTGTCCTGAATGCTGAATGGAATTGCAGTTACCTATGTATCTATGATAAGGTTGCTATTTTGCTTTGGGTTGTTTGGGTTTTTTGATTAACACAAAACCTAAAGAGAACTTGACCAGAAATTCCCTCATTTAGTATGAGATGAAACAAGAATAAGTGAATATTAGAATGCATAGAATACATATGAAACAGACAAAAGACCACATTAATAAAAATGAGTGTACTTACAATGAGTAAGAAAAAAAATAATAGGAGGTAACTCTCAGTCCCACCACTGTCTGTTTTCCAGGTTATTTTCCATTTCTTTTGGGTGCCAAATTAGCAAGAGATATATGCAAATGTTTGTGAGGCTCAATAGGATTT